TAATTTAAGGATTTTTTTTTTTTTTTTTTTTTTTTTTGAAACGGAGTCTCACTCTGTCGCCCAGGCTGGAGTGCAGCGGCGCAGTCTCGGCTCACTGCAGCCTCTGCCTCTCAGGCTCAAGCACTTCTGCCTCAGCCTCCCTAGTAGCTGGAATTACAGGTGTGCGCCACCACACCCAGCTAATTTTTGTATTTTTAGTAGAGATAGGGTTTTATTTACCATGTTGGCCAGGCTGGTCTTGAACTCCTGACCTCAAGTGATCTGCCCACCTCAGCCTCTCAAAGTGTTGAGTTTACAGGCGTGAGCTACCACCCAGCCTGATTTAAGGAAATTGAAGGGAAAGTACATCATACTAACCAATAGTTCTTATTGTCCCACTGCAATTATTTTTCTTGTTTGATTATAACCACTCAGGGGAAAGGACACTACCAAATACAGTATAAGTAATCAGCTCTGAGTAATCAAGTGTAATGTGTGCTTACCTGTTTTCTAAGGGAAAATGCGTTTTTGGCAGCCTATGTTAGATTCCCTTTTTAATTATATTCCTGAGAGAATAATAATGCATTAATGGCTCATATTAAAAACAAAAGACGAATCCCAGCACTTTGGGAGGCTGAGGCAGGCAGATCACGAGGTCAGAAGTTCGAGAGCAGCCTGACCAATATGGTGAAACCCTGTCTCTACTAAAAATACAAAAATTAGCTGGGCATGGTGGTGTGCAACTGTAATTCCAGCTACTCAGAAGGCTGAGGCAGGACAATCACTTGAACCTGGGAGGCAGAGGTTTCAATGAGCCAAGATCGTGCCATTACACTCCAGCCTGGGCAACGAGAGCAAAACTCGGTCTCAAATAAATAAATAAATAACCATTAACCAGGCATGGTAGCGGGCGCCTGCAATCTCAGCTACTCGGGAGGCTAAGGCAGGAGAATCACTTAAACCCGGAGGTGGAGGCTGGAATGAGTTGAGATCTTGCCACTGCACTCCAACCTGGGTGACAGAACGAGACTCCTTCTGAAATAAAGTAAAATAAAAGAGTAGAAAGTAGATTAACAGTTGCCAGAAGATGAGGATAGAGAGGATAAGGAGTAACAGAATGGATATGGGTTTCTGTTTGGGGTAAGGAGAATGTTCTAGAATTAGGCCGTAATGGGAGTTGTACAATGTTGCGAATATACTAAAAAAAAAAAAAAAAACTGAATGGTACACTTAAAAGGTAAATTTTATGGTATATGAATTATATCTCAATTTGAAATGGAAAAAGATGAGATACAGTAAAATGTTTAGCATTTGACAATACTGTCATGGTTATTTGGGAAGAGACTTGTTTATAAGGAAATGTATACCTGGCAGAACAAGTAAGTTTTCAAATAAAAGTTAAAGACATTCAAAAGATCTAAATGGTTATCTGAACGTCTTTTGGAAGAAAATCTATTTCTTGCTCAATTGTGGGACATCTGACTTTGCATTAGATAAAGTAAGGAAATATTCTGCAGCTTGTATTTATAATTTTTCTGGCTTTTGTAAAGAAATGGCTGAGCATGATGGCTCACGCCCATAACCCCAGCACTTTGGGAGGCCAAGGCAGGTAGACCACCTGAGTTCAGGAGTTCAAGACCACCCTGGCCAACATGGCAAAACCCCGTCTCTATTAAAAATATAAAAATTAGCTGGGTGTGGTGGCGCACACCTGTAATCCCAGCTACTAGGGAGGCTGAGGCAGAAGTGCTTGAGCCTGGGAGGCAGAGGTTGCAGTGAGCCGAGACTGTGCCACTGTGCTCCAGCTTGGGCAACGGAGTGAGACTCAGTCTCAATTTAAAAAAAAAAAAAAAAAAAAAAGGAAGAAAGAAACGACATATCAGCTGCAAGGGGGTCAGTAAGGAGACATTCTTTCATTGGTTTGATGTACACATAGAATAAAGTGTTGTTTTAATTTTAGAATACAAAATGTAATGACCAAGCAATAGTGACTTAATTCATAAAAACAGTGATATGTATTTGCCTAGATTCTAACATTGTCCTTTGAATCCCTGGGTCCATTTGTGCTTCTAAGGAGCCAGGTGGCCCGTGATTCCTTCAGTTAGAACTAAGCTTTTTTCGTATCTACTTTCAGTTTGACCTTATGTGTTTCATTGGTTAAATTTGGCATTCATCATGGTGTAAGTTTATTCAGCAAATATTAATTAGTGCCTGCTGTGTTCCATTCACTCTTCTAGACACTCAGGATACTGTGGTAAGCAAGGCAAAATTCCCAGTGCTCTTGGAGCTTTATGATACATGGTGGCCAGGTTCCACTTCTTTTTTCTAAAAAACTATTGTTGTTGTTGTTGTTTTTTGAGGTGGAGCATCACTCTGTTGCCCAGGCTGGAGTACAGTGTGGCATGATCTCGGCTTACTGACTACAACCTCCGCTTCCTGGGTTCAAGTGATTCTCCTGCCTCAGCCTCCGGAGTAGCTGGGATTACAGGTGTGCACCACCACACCTGGCTAATTTTTGTATCTTTAGTAGAGACGGGGTTTCACCATGTTAGCCATGCCAGTCCCGATCTCCTGACCTCAGGTGATTCCCCAGCCTTGGCCTCCCAAAGTGCTGGGATTACAGGCATGAGCCACTGCACCCGGCCTAAAAACTCACTTACTGATGGTAGCTGAGAGATCAGAGCTTTTACTTACGTTTTTGTTTTTGAGGAGGGAGGAGAAGAAATCTTGTTTATCTTTCCTATTTTCTTCAGATCTTCCTCACTGCTTGCTTCCATGTCATTCCTAATCCACTTTTTATATGTCTCTGTCTTCCTTCTAAAAGGTACATTTGGTCGTGTCACCCCTAGTTTCTCGTCATGGACTTCCCATTATTCTTAGGTTAATGTTCAGTCGTGGCTTACAAAGGCTTTCTGATCTGGCTTGGCCCGAGGCTCCTGGGTCAGTCCTCCATTGGACTTCTGGTTCCTTCCACCCCTTGCTTCCATGCATGCAGTGTCAATTGCCTAAAATAGTCTTCAGTGTACCCTTGAATCTGGCTAACTGCTGCTAGCTTTCAGGTTTCATCTTAGATAGCATTTGCTTTTTTTTTTTTTTTTTTTTTGAGACGGAGTTTCACTCTTGTTACCCAGGCTGGAGTGTAATGGTGCGATCTTGGCTCACCGCAACCTCTGCCTCCTGGGTTCAAGCAGTTCTCCTGCCTCAGCCTCCCAAGTAGCTGGGATTACAGGCACGGGCCGCCATGCCCAGCTAATTTTTGTATTTTTAGTAGAGACAGGGTTTCACCATGTTGACCAGGATGGTCTTGATCTCTTGACCTCGTGATCCACGCGCCTTGGCCTCCCAAAGTGCTGGGAGATGGCGTTTTCTATGATAACTCTTCCCTGACCAAACTTCCCATCCCTCCCCAGTTTGGGGTACTCCTCCCCTAAACTGCTATGGTACCCAGTGATGCCATTAGCCAGTTACTTGATCATACTCCCTGCCATTGACTGTGGCTACCGCTGGGTAGTCTTTGTCCTCATGTTATCCCCCAGTTCTTAACTCTGTCTGGAGCATAGTACGTACTCAGTAAACGTTTGCTTGTTTCATCTAATAGCCTATCCGCGAAATGCTTTGCCAAGCAGATATTTAACTGAATCAGTGACTGAGTGACTGATTTTTTTCATCTTGGAGTATATACCAGTCAGAGAGGAATATACCCCCCTCCAAAAATATGTATATACATATGTCTTCATGTTCTACATCATCTACATTTTTCGTTTGGCCTCATGTGTTGCATTGGTTGAATTTGTCATTCATCATGTTGTAAGTTTATTCAGCAAATATTAATTAGTGCCTGCTGTATTCCATACACTCTTCTAGACACTGAGGATACTGTGGTAAGCAAGGCAAAATTCCCAGTGCTCTTGGAGCTTTATGATACATGGTGGCCAGGTTCCACTTCTTTTTTCTAAAAAACTGTTGTTGTTGAGGTGGAGCGTCACTCTGTTGCCCAGGCTGGAGCACAGTGGCATGATCTCAGCTTACTAACTACAACCTCTGCCTCCTGGGTTTAAGTGATTCTCCTGCCTCAGCCTCTGGAGTAGCTGGGGTTATAGGTGTGCATCACCACATCTGGCTAATTTTTGTATTTTTAGTAGAGACAGGGTTTCTCCTCTATAGAGTCTCTGCTTTGTCTCTCCAACTGAACAATTTAAAGGCTAATTTTTGCTACTTTTCAGAAATTGGATCACTTATCAAAATCTTTTTATGGAAGCTTTGAAGTAATATTTAGTAATATTTAGTCGTTCCCTGTGAGTAATAATGGCTTTAGATATTTTCTAGTGTAAGATGTGTTAAAACAGTGGTATAAAGTGGACCTTATGGTGTATGTGTCAAATGTTTTAAGGGAATGAAGAGGCTGGGCACACTGGCTCATGCTTGTAATCCCAGCACTTTGGGAGGCCAAGGTAGGGGAATTGCTTGAGGCCAGGAGTTCAAGACCAGCCTGCAATATACTGAGATCCCATCTCTACAAACAAATTTTTCAAATGAATAAATGAAGACAGATATGCCTAGAAACTAGAGCCTGTTCGACTCCTCTGGGGAAACATCTATGAAAGTAGTGATGCTTGTGAGATCTGAGACTAAATCCACCAAATCTGAGCTTCTGGATTAGACTTTTGGTTTAAGCAGAATTAAGTTTATACAGCCTATTTATATTTTCCTTGGAAACCTTACCAAGGATCTTAATTTTTCATTTTTTTCTTGACTGTTTAATGATTTCTAATATATAGCTTTAAAAATTGTCCTTTAGTAAAAATGACAAAAGTATATCTGAATAGTCATTGTTTTATTTTGCTTTTCTCCCCTTTAATCTAGGAACGTAATGGCATTTTATCCTACTTTGTTATCTGACATGAATATGCTTTGTCTGGTTCTGTTTAATTGGCTTTTGTCATTTCAAGTAATAATGATAATAAATTTCATATTATTCTAACTGGAGTTTTGTTTTGTTTTGTTTTTCCTCTCTTATCTAGTTGTTGTGGAATTATAAGCTGAACCTAACTACAGATCCCAAATTTGAATCTGTGGCCAGAGAGGTTTGCAAATCTACCATAACAGAGGTAAGTTGTGAACGAATTTTGGAGGTGGCTAATGGCTTAGAAGAGAAAATTACATCTGTTGACCAGACTAGCCCTTATGAGAAGAATGACTCAGTTACTTTTCTTAGAATTCAGATCTGTCTTGGTTGAAAGAGGGTTGGGGGGCGTAATTAGACTCTTTTTGTTAATGTCCACCTACACTTACATTAGGATACTATTGATTAAGGCAGTTGGAAATCAGGTTCTATTGGTCTCCAAACAGCAAATGAAAGTGCTGAGGTAGTAAGTGCTACTCTCACACGTGGGACAACTTGTTGTGTGTGAAGCATATCAGCACGGTTAAAAGAGGCCTGTCAGCATTCCTGTTTTGACTGTGCAGTTGAATCAGTTGAACCACAGAGGTATATACTTAAAATAATAGGAATTAGTGTCAAAAAGGTTAAGATTTTTTAAATCATTTAAAAATAATTGGCCCAGTGTAAACAACAATATTAATAATAAAAATGAAAGTTGTGGTACTTGAAATGTCTTTTTTTAGGGTTTTATTTATAGAAACTCCAGCAAGCCAGAGTTTCTGAATACTGGAACATGAGAATCACAGAGAAAACAGTTGCTATTTTCCACCCCGGAATTAACAGTCATAGATCTCGCACCATATTAATCTGTCCCTCAGGCTGGTCCTATTGATCAATTAAGTCAGGGCCACATTCTTCAGAGCGCTTTTTTTTTTTTTTTTTTTTTTTGAGAGAGAGTTTCTCTCTTTTTTCCCCGAGCCTGGAGTGCAATGGTGTGATCTCGGCTCACCGCAACCTCCGCTTCCCAGGTTCAGGCAATTCTGCCTCAGCATCCCGAGTAGCTGGGATTACAGGCACGCGCCACCATGCCCAGCTAATGTTTTGCATTTTTAGTAGAGACGGGGTTTCACCATGTTGACCAGGATGGTCTCGATCTCTTGACCTCATGATCCACCCACCTCGGCCTACCAAAGTGCTGGGATTACAGGCTTGAGCCACCGCGCCTGGCTCTTCAGATCTCTTAAAGAAGACCCTGTCTCATCCAGATAAGCCATCAGCCGATTTTCCTCATGTCATTATGGAGTCTCATAGAACCTGTTTTCTCAAACCTTCTAATCCTGGATCAGAGATGTTTTATTCTTTTAAAGCAGTGACCCTTCATGTTTACCCTGGGGCTTCCGAGCAGAAAGGCATATCTTTGGAAAATTGATCTTCAGCTTCTAGCTTTAATTTTCTACATCTCAAACTCCCTTAGCTAGCTATACGACTAAACCTCTACTTTTAAAATATCAAGGGCAAAAGTGTTTGCTTAATAACAAAACTCAATACAAAGAAATTAGTCCCAGGCTTGAACTTCAAATGTTTGTATTTTCCCTCTGTATTGTGGTACTATACAATTATTAGTTTTTTTATGTTTTTGAGATGGAGTTTCACTCTATAGTCCATGTTGAAGTGCAGTGGTGCCATCTTGGCTCACTGCAACCTCTGCCTCCCGGGTTCCAGCAATTCTCCTGCCCCAGCCTCCCAAGTAGCTGGGATTACAGGTGTGTGCCACCACAGCTGGCTGATTTTTGTATTTTTAGTAGAGACAGGGTTTTGCCACGTTGGCCAGGCTGGTCTTGAACCGATCACATGCCTGGCCATAGGTAGTTTTTTTTGAGAGACACATTGGGAGAGATATGGAGACACACACACACATATATGTTTCTTTTGCCCCATTTTGTGTCACCATTAAATGCATACCAGCTTGATTGCCCTGGGGATATTTAGTTGAATAAAAATAAATATATATATATATATATTTTTTAAATATATTAAATATAGTTTAATAAAAAAATATATTTTTTTTTCACTAGAATAATTTCACTCTTTGCATTACGCTGGCATCCATATAATGTGTCTATCATGATTGTCCTCTGTGACCTTTTTGGGTGTTTTGGTTTTGTAAAAGATTAGCGTTAGCAAAGACGCTTCTCCCTCTCAAAGGAAGTTTATGTTGTAGTCAGTGAAATTAAATATCAGGAAGAAAACAGTTGCCAACAAGACATTTCATTCTAGATTTTCCTTTTATCGTCTTTCTTAAATTTGGAATCCTACTCCCAGGGAGAAAAACAACATCACAGGAATACCTGCAAACTATTAATACAAGCCAAACTTAGTCTTCAGGACTGAGCTAAATCCTACCTGCTTTCCTCCTGGCTCCTGTCAGAAAATAGAGGAACTGCAGCATTTTGCTAATGGTACCTTGTCAATCTGCTCCCCAGCCACTTTATAGTTTACTTCTATTCTTAAATATGTTGATGATGATTTAGTGCCCCTTTTTTCTGTTAATCTTAGAAGTTTAATAAGATAGAAGGAAAAAGTGCTATCCAACAGAATAAAGAAAGGTGCAGACTTCTCATTCAAACACCGTGCCCTGTTATAATAGGAGTAGGTGCCACATCTCTGTGTTTCAGTGAAATCTCAACTGATTGTAGCTAAAATTTACATTTAGCTTCTTATTGAGGCTGCAGTTCAAAATGTGCTCTTGGTTTTCTTAGAGGTGTTTTAAAACTTTTGGTTGCCCAGTATTAGGGCCTGGAAAAATGTTCTGTTTCATTAAGTGGGTGCCTGCCACTAGTCCTGTTTTTTATCCAGTGTTTTTTCTGTGGTTGAATTAAAAGTGCTGGGATTTTCAAGCATCTATTCCTCTTTCAGTTTTCAAACTTAACTCTGTTTCGTTAGGGGAAAAAAAACTTTTCCAGGAAATAGAGTCCTGGCCCTCTTTTTTTTTTTTTTTTTTTTAATTTTGAGACGGTGTCTTGCTCTGTCACTCAGGAGGCTGAAGTGCAGTGGCATAATTTTGGCTGATTGCAGCCTCCGCCCTCTAGGTTCGAGTCATTATTGTGCCTCAGCCTCTTAAGTACCTGGGACTATAGATGTGCGCCACCACATCCAGCTAATTTTTGTATTTTTAGTAGACAGACACAGAGTTTCGCCATTTTGGCCAGGCTGGTCTCAAACTCCTAACTTCAACTGATCCATCCACCGCGGGCTCCCAAAGTGCTGGAATTACAGACATGAGCCACCACACCCAGCCATGACCTTCTTTTTAGGCATCACAAAAACTTTCTTGGCGTTAAACTAAAAGAATTGCGTTCATCTTAACTGTTGAAAATCACCACTGCCTCTGAAGCCAATGTGAGACCATTTACTAAATTCTCAAGTTTGCTTCTTTAAAAGTAAATACAACTGGCTGGGCACGGTGGATCACGCCTGTAATCCCAGCACTTTGGAAGTCCGAGGCAGGTGGATCATGAAGTCAGGAGAGCTAGACCATCCTGGCCAACATGGTGAAACCCCGTCTCTACTAAAATACAAAAAAAAATTAGCCAGGCATGGTAGTGCACAGCTACTGCAGAGGCTGTAGTCCCAGCTACTGTGGAGGCTGAGGCAGGGGAATCACTTGAACCGGGGAGGCAGAGGTTGCAGTGAGCCGAGATCACGCCACTGCACTCCAGCCTGGCGACAGAGCGAGATTCGGTCTTAAAAAAAATAAAAATAAAAAAAGTAAACACAACTTTCTGTTTTGAGCTGAGTTATTTTTGTGGTCCGGATTTGATACTGGAGTTAGAGGTGAAGAGACTCATTTTCCTGTAGGATATTATTCATCTGTGGTGTGTCCTTTGTGCAGCACCTTTTGGAAGAGGAGATTGTTTGTTTTGCACTATGGGCATGCTTATGATAGGTAGCCTAATGGGGAGAATGGTCTCTGTTGGTTTTAAAGTACGAATAAAACATTCTTTCTTGTTTATATTCAAAATAAACATTCCCATTTAACTCCTTCCTTTTGTCAGAATTGCCACTTCAATTTGTTTTAATTTCCCCACATGCAATAGGCTTTTTTCCAAACAACCTTCTCTGTTTTATAATTCAAGCTTATAATTCTATTAGTAGGTTTTACTTTTGCCTGAATTTCAGCATTTTGGGGCTAGTTTGATTTATTAGCGTTTTGTGGTTTGGAATGCACTTTGCAGGAACACTACCATGCAGAATCACTCTGTGCTTGTTCCACTAGATCATATGTCTAAACCACCCAAACTAGGTTTGCAGTGGCCTTCCCAGACTTCTTGCTCAACTGCACTGAACATTGTTTTAAACATGTTTCTGTCCCAGACCACAGTGGTTAAGTTTGGATTCTACTAATTTCAAAAACACATGTTCAATCCATAATTAATTCAGAACTCATTAATGTGATGTCAAGAAGTAGGCCTGGTGTGGTGGCTCACGCCTGTAATCCCAGCACTTTGGGAGGCCAAGACGGGCAGATCACCTGAGGTCAAGAGTTTGAGTCCAGCCTGGTCAACATGACAAAACCCCAGCTCTACTAAAAATACAAAAATTAGCCAGACGTGGTGGCGCAAGCCTGTAGTCCCAGCTACTTGGGAGGCTGAGGCAGGAGAATCACTCGAACCCAGGAGGCAGAGGTGCAGAGAGCCCAGATCATGTCATTGCACTCCAGCCTGGGTGACAGAGCAAAACTCTGCCTCAAAAGATAAAAAATTAAAATAATGTAATGTCAAGAAGTAATACTACACCTTCCCTCCTCTCTCTCTCTGGCCATTAGGTTTACCTAACAATAATAGTTTGCTGTGTAGCGTGGTTTGGGATGTGCAGCTAGACTTCACTTCTGCACCTGTTTGTCAGACCTTCCTCCCTAGATTCATCCCCTCACCGTCCATTGCATTCTTTGTGTGGTTACAAGGACTTGTCCATAGGATCATGGCAAAGCTGTAGATGTTAACAGCTCTTTTCACTCCATTTAGAAGTGAGCATTACCTAAGCATTTGGATGTGTATGTAATTTCTTGCAAAACACATTAATCAGGTTTTTCTAGAAGGCACAACAATCTGAGTAACGATGACACAGTATTTTTCTTTAAAATGAATGTATCCCTAAATGTTTTCCTTGGATATATTCCTAAGAATTTTTCTTTATTTTCTCCAAAGTAAAGAATTAGGAAATCAACAGGAAAATGTCAGACTTTTTCTCTTTCATAAATATTGCTTGATACAAGCACGGAACACTTTTGTAAAACAGCCACTTTATTTTGAGCAGATTAAAGAATGTGCTGATGAACCAGTTGGAAAAGGGTACATGGTTTCCTGCTTGGTGGATCACCGAGGCAACATCACTGAGTATCAGTGTCACCAATACATTACCAAGATGACGGCCATCATTTTTAGTGATTACCGTTTAATCTGTGGCTTCATGGATGACTGCAAAAATGACATCAACATCCTGAAATGCGGCAGTATTCGGCTTGGAGAAAAGGTATCTAATACTGCATTGGCTTCAACAAAGGGTCTTAAAAATTTGGTGTGTGAAAAGCTTTTATAACTGACATGGAAAAAAATTAGGACTGGAGTGACCTTAAGTTGAAATTAAAGAAACTTGTCCAGACAGCCTAAAAGCTAAGGCTGGTGTACAGTGCATTTCATGTGTTTGTAGTGAAATATTTCAGTACTATATGGGAAGCAGAGGAATTAATACCTGCAAAGAGTGGTGTTATTTTCACAATATTAGACTAATTGCTGGTTACCTATAAAATGTCTCTGGCAATGGGAGACACCTGAGTTCTGTTTTTTGTTGGTTTTTTTTTTTTTTTTTTTTTTTTTAAGACAGAGTCTGTCTTTGTTGCCCAGGCTGTAGCGCAGTGGTAGGATTTCTGTTCACTGCAGGCTCTGCCTCCTGGGTTCAAGCGATTCTCCTGCCTCGGCCTCTTGAGTAGCTGGAACTACAGGAATGCACTACCATGCCTGGCTAATTTTTGTATTTTTAGTAGAGATGGGGTTTCACCATGTTGGCCAGGCTGGTCTCAAACTCTTGACCTGAAGTGATCTGCCCGCCTCAGCCTCCCAAAGTGCTGGGATTACAGGTGTGAGAGCTATCCCCCGCCCCAGCCGAATTCTCTAATCTTTCCCTGAGTATACCTCATGGTTACTATAAAAAACAATTACTTAGCATACTGGCTGCTGTCCATCTATAAAATATTAGAAAATTTTAAGATATGTGAAGATACTTCTAGTTTGTTGGAAGAAAGGTCTTCTCTAAGTAGGATGTATTATTAACTTTCATCTCAGAGGAACTGATTTTAGTAAAGACTGGAAAGAATATAACTACCTAGGTAGTTTCTTCCACAGTTATATCTGATCTTATTTTTGGACTTAATCTGCTGAACAGAAGGTCACAATAGAAATTTGGCCAGGTTTATTCTGAGTTTGTTTGCTCACCAAAAGTGAAAAAAACTCATGAAAAGTAATGGATGCCAGTGGGAGAGGGAGTCTGAGACCTCCGGCATCAGCTATTAATTGCTGCTGCTCATTAATCTGCTGTTCAGGAAATATGATCGGAAATAAAACCCATTTGTCCCTTTGCCGTCTATTTGTTCATAGTTGGCAGGCGTGTCACTGATAAAGGGGACATGGTGTTAGGATCCTGGAACTGAGCACACGGTTCAAATGCAGAGTTTCTTGCTGTGTATTGTCTGGCTGTCACCGAAGCCTTGATGCCCTTTACTTATTATCAGCACAGGGCCTGATCCCTTATCAGAGGGTGCTGCTGAGTTGGTCTTGAAAACTCTGTGAGCTTGGCATAAATCTTTCAGGCAAGTAAAGAAAAGGCAGCTTTAATAAAGAACACAGTGTTTTCTTTCCCAGCAGACTCTAAAAATGGCACAAAAGCACTTAAGTCATTCTGATGATTCAGGAAGCTCCTCTGACTTTTTTTAGGATGTTGAAAATTATACCCAATTCCAAACCTGACTCCTTTTGAAATATCCACATGGCGTTCCAAACATACTTTTCAGGAATCAGCGATGAGGCTTTTTCACCCTCATGATGTGTGCTCCATGCAGTAAAACCAAGGGTTTAAGCCCCTCTGTGGAGTAGTTCTTGCCTGGTAACCACCAAGGTAGCCCCCCATTAGCCTCCCTCTAACTCTCTAAATTGTCACCTGCGTATATGAGTTTTAGTAAGTCTGTAGTGACTGAAACAATTGCAGAAAATAGTACTGCTGGAGCCAAAAGCATGGCAGAATTGTTTATTCAACTTAGATAAAATAGCAAAAATTGTTTCTATGGACCAAAGATAGAAATGACACTTTTGTCATTTAATCTTTCATTATGGCTACTAGTTAGGTGAAATTTCAGTTTATCCCAGGTCACTATGCCAGCATCAAAGGCTTTCTTATATTTGGGGGACAGTGAGATGAACTCACACTTGAACTTGAAAAAGCCTCTTCCTTCCTCTGTCATTTGCTCTGTGCTACAACCAAGTTTAAAAAAAGAGGAAGGCATGTGCTCAGCTCTTCTGTTCCTTTTCTAACTGTAGTTTCTCCTCTTAAGCCAGTTATTTAGATAGAAAAATTATCCTGAAAATTAACGAAGTGGCTTCTGAACACAGAAAACAACAGGCTTGTCAGTTTCAAATTTGCTGCCACTGAAGCTTGAAACTCTTCTATGACTGGTTGTGACCTCACCTCCTCCATAGGTCAGAGGAGAGGAGTCATGGTTAATCTTTTTGTACCTTGCCTTTGTGTGAACACATAAATGTAATGATTTCAAAACTATGATTTTTTTCAAAATGTTAAATTTTAGAGCAAAGAAGATATATTAATAAAGCCTTTAGCATTTTCTATAGTAATAAATGTTGTTAAAATGAAAGGACAGATTTCCAAAAGTGAAGGTTTAAATGATTTACGTCATCTGAAGAAAAGGAACGTGGTTTCCAACAAAGGAACTTCACTGTGGACATGTGCAACAGTATTAGTGCTTTTATGCTTTTCTCTCAGTAGCTGTATCATTTGTTATTTCCTGCTTCTAACCAGTTAGTTTGAGTAACTCTGATAATCCTTTTTCCTTTATCCACTGAGGTAGATCAGAGAAGACAGCAGAAGCATTGTAATAGAGAATGGTTTATAGCAGAGATGAAAACCTAGTTCTTGCCTGCTATTGAGAAGTTAGTGTTAGCCTCTGTTGTAGTTTGAGTTTTTTTTTGTTTTTGTGTTTTTTTCATGGGGGTCGTTGTTCTTAAAGGACAAAGAGTTGAGGAAGAAAAAATACTGCCTATCAGACTTCTAAAAATGGATCAAGGCATTGGCAGTTTTTAGGCAGATGTTTTTCTACCATAATAAAATTAACAAAAATTTATTTTAAGCTCATTTATAGGATAATTTATTGCTCATATGCCAAGCCTGTGTATAAATAACTTTTTAAACCTAAGTGGTTTTATTGTCTCATAAGGTGCAGGTGTGCAGTTCACCTCACTTACTTTATCCATGCAGTCTTCGTTGTCAGATATTTGTATGCATTTCGGTTACAAACTCAAATGGGATGCCCTAAAAAGCTCAGAGACTCTGAGGAACTCCTGAAATACCATTATTTGAAAAAAGTATCTATCTGAAAGTTACAATGAATGGAAACATCTAGTAGAAGTATTTTTATGAACTAATACCAGTATGTGGTGCTACACACATTCACACATTGCTTATCAATGAGGATACAATGAGGATACGAGGACACATTCTGAAAAATGTGTTGTTAGGCATTTCATCACTGTGTGAATATCATAGAGTACACTTACGCAGACCTAGATGGTGTAGCCTACTACACACCTAGGCTATGTAGTGTAGCCTGTTGCTTCTAGGCTACAAACCTGTACAGCATGTGGCTATGCTGAAAACCTAGAGGTATGTATAACACAATTATAGTATTTATGTATACAAATACATATAGACATAGGAAAGGCACAGTAAAAAATACAGTATTCCATTGTTGGGTGTAGTGGTGCATGCCTCTAGTCTCAGCTACTCGGGAGGATGAGGCAGGAGGATCACTTGAGCCCAGGACTTTGGGACTGCAGTGAACTGTGATCCCCTCTGCTGCCCTCCAGCCTGGGCGACAGGGCAAGACCCTGTCTCATAAATAAATAAATAAATAAATAAATAGAAGAGTTAAAAAAAAAAAAAAAAAAAAACAAGTTTTAGGAGGAGTTTTATAGACTCTACCCACTCACCCAGATTAACCCCAGGTCTAGATAAATAAACAATAACTGTTAGCTAGGCACTTTGTGTTCTACAACTCAAATGAGGTAGTTAACTCCTGTGAGCCTCTGTTCATTCATGTACCCAGTAGATAGCAGAGCTGTATTCTTTCTTTGTATGTATGTTAGGAGATAAAATGAAAGTTTTCATGGAAACACTTGGAAATTAAGGGGCTATAGAACATATCCTATTATAATAAAATAGGAAAAAATACATTCTTTGATTAATTTGAAATTTTGTCTGAAGTAGATGTTAACCCCTACTTAGTTTTAGGAATGATCATCTCCTCCTCCTCCTCCTCCTCCTTCTCCTCCTCCTTCTTTCTTCTTCTTCTTCTTCTTCTTCTTCTTCTTCTTCTTCTTCTTCTTCCTTCTTCTTCCTTCTTCTTCCTTCTTCTTCCTTCTTCTTCCTTCTTCTTCCTTCTTCTTCCTTCTTCTTCCTTCTTCTTCCTTCTTCTTCCTTCTTCTTCCTTCTTCTTCCTTCTTCTTCCTTCTTCTTCCTTCTT